TGATCCCCTATTGCCCGGGGACCCCATGAGTTGTCCACCCCTGGTGACAATGGTAGGCCGTGCATCTGCTGTGCCTTTAAAAACGGCTTTGCTTCATTGAGCGCAAAGAGAGCTGCGCTGCCGCAGATCGCGATCCTTGGCCGGCGCGTTGTTTTCTTACCGCGGTCCGTAAACCTGTAGAAAGATAAAGAGAAGGAACACACAACTCTGCCAGATTGCTTCTTTTGCCAATTTTTTCAGCGTTAACAAGACTTTCCCCGGCGACAGGAAATGAAAAATTACAGATCATGAGCGGCGAGATGAACAATTCCGTTCACCAAAGTGATCACCTGCTACCTTCTGGATAATGTCAGTAACACCGGGGGACTGACATTGTCCCAACGCCTGTCGGTTACCATGCAAAGGGAGGGTGTATTTGAAGTTGGGCAAGGGACCCAAAAATGATATTGCTGTTTTTGATGGATTCTAGGGTACTGAGCGCTGGCGGGGGCGGGCACAGAGGCAGGACACCTCCCAAATGAGGGCGGGCACAGACAGCAAATTATTCTGGAAATCCAGTTTAGGAAGGAAGCCTGGTGATTTGCCCATTAGCCCCTCCGACTTTCACAAAAAAAGGAAACAAAATGGTTGAAGCAACAATGCCATTGGAAAGTTTTTTCGTTATATTGGAGTTCTTCCTGTAAGCCAAAAAATTGAGTTTTTTGTTTTTTTTTAATTATTCGGGAAAGACGGGTGTCACAGGGACAGGAAGTAAGGAAAATGTTTCCCGGTATGGTCACCGTTAGGAATAAAAGCTAGAAAATGTTCAGGCTCTTTTTTCATTTCTAATCTATACTGGATGAGGGTGCGTTACCCTACGCACCATCTGGCCAATTGATGAATCTAAAATATATAAAAATATATAAAAAATGTATGCTCAGCTGTAATGAATGCCTATTGGAGTGGAATGTACTGCGCACAACAATATGACTGGATACCATTGCAATTATTTACCTTACATCCAAATGGTTAATAACACCACACCAAATCCAATACCATACCATTTTAGATGAAGTGACGGCATACAAAGAGGCCCTGTAGTTTGATCATAAACCTGTCAGATTGAATATATAATCTCTGTTAAGGAAATGGAGTTACCCCCCCCCCCCTGGAGAAAAATAATTAGATAGAATAATGTATCTTGCTACAGATATATAATACGGGTACACTCATCCATGGGCCTAAATGTCAGCCTCTCATGAATAAGCCCCATACATCACCATATCCAGTCAAAAATACCTCACTGTCTTGAGGAATGCAAATGATGCACTGTAAAATGCAGTACAGACCTCTCCAAAAAAAAAAAAGGGGAAAGAGGAGCGAATACCATGTGCATTCAAAAAGTACTCCCAAAGAAAGACCCAAAGAAAAAAAGAAACTCTACATGTTTCACTCCATAAAACAGAGCTTCGTCAGAAGTATAAAGAATTAAAATAGGTCACATAGTGGCTGGAAGTTGTGCTCAGCTGCACATGGTGGCCATCTTTTTTCATTTCTGACTGATAGATTTCACTCACTGGGCAAGGCTGACAACACTGTTGGATTTCAGAGCAGCAGAGGCAGCGTTGTCAGCTCAGACAAGAAGTTGGGAGCTCTTTGACTTTTATTTATTTCAGGTAATTATATAGCGCCGTCAATTTATGCAGCGCTTTACATATATATTGTACATTCACATCAGTGCCTAACCCTCAAGGGGCGTACAGTCTAAGGTCCCTAACTCACATTCATATACAAGGGCCAATTTAGACAGGATCCAATTAACCTACCAGCATGTCTTTGGAGTGTGGGAGGAAACTCACGCAGGCACAGGGAGAACATGCAAACTCCAGGCAGGAGGTGCTGTGGTTGGGATTCGAACCAACGACCCGAGTACTGCCAGGTGTGGCTTTCTTGCAGATCCACCTTTATTTTTCTTTATAGGCATCACTTTTAAAGAGACAGTCCGTGGCGAAATGTATGGTAGATGTGTACTGTATGTTTGTTTTTTGTTTGTTTTTTTGTCCATGCATACACTTTAATCCCCTGGAAAAAAAAAAGTTCCGCCTCCAGTTTCGAATTAGTAAAAGTCCCCTTTGAAGTGTTTGTAAATGGAAGTGTTCAGAAGGAAAATAGTGACTACAAAATGGGGCTAATAATTTAAACAGCCAGTGTAGCAAGTTATAGGATGTTAAACCCATTAAAAGAAATGATCTGAGTTCTCTTCTCGTTGGTCAGACGTAGCGAATCGCTCTGCAGTTTTTTTCCTTCTCTCTTACAGAAGTGGGTCTCTGATGAGATTTGTTGGCCAGGAAACCACTGTATCTCAGTGAATATCTAATACGGCGGGTGCACAGTGAGGTTACAGTTCCCACCTCCCATCCCCCATCTTACGGTGGGGGCTCGTGCTCCCCTCCCAACGCTAACATATTCTGACACCGAACTTCCTGCACAAAACTTCCTGAACTGTTGTGATTTGGCCCCGCACTCTTCTCCTGCCCCCCCCCCCCCCGGTACGAATCGCACGCTTTTTAGTCCGCAGCCAATATTAGACCCTTCATGTCCTACAGGGGATTCAGCGTGATGCAAGGAGGTCAGCGGTGCTGAATGTTTATTTCCAGATTATTATTCATGGAACAAAAATATCAGCCGACTGTAACCCCTTCACGTTCAGCTGAAGACATTTTAGACTGTCTTATTATAGGGTAGCGTTTGTGTGCAAGTGTCATTGTTCTTTATCCCCCAAGTGTCAGTGTGTTGTTGTTCTAGATCCCCCAAGTGTCAGTGTGCCATTGTTCTAGATCCCCCAAGTGTCCGGGTGTCATTGTTCTGGGTTCCCCAAGTGTCAGGATGTCATTGTTCTGGGACCCCCAAGTTTCAGTGTGTTATTGTTTTGGGACCCCCAAGTGCCAGAGTGTCATTGTTCTAGATCCTCCAAGTGTTAAGGTGTCATTGTTCTGGGTCTCTCAAGTGTCAGTGTATCATTTTTCTGGACCCCCAAGTGTCAGGGTGTCATTGTTCTAGATCCCCTGAGTGTCAGTGCGTCATTGTTCTAGATCCTCCAAGTGTCAGGATGTCATTGTTCTGAGACCCCCAAGTTTCAGTGTGTCATTGTTCTAGATCCCCCAAGTGTCAGGGTGTCATTGTTCTGAGACCCCCAAGTTTCAATGTGTCATTGTTTTGGGACCCCCAAGTGCCAGAGTGTCATTGTTCTAGATCCCCTGAGTGTCAGGGTGTCATTGTTTTAGATCCTACAAGTGTCAGGGTGTCATTGTTCTGGGTCTCCCAAGTGTCAGTGTGTCATTTTCTGGACCCCCAAGTATTAGGGTGTCATTGTTCTAGATCCTCCAAGTGTCAGTGTGTCATTGTTCTGGGACCACCAAGTGCCAGGGTGTCATTGTTCTGGACCCCCAAGTGTCAGTGTGCCATTGTTCTGGACCCCCGAGTTTCAGTGTGTCATTGTTCTAGATCCCCCAAATGTAAGTGTCAGTGTTCTGGGACCACCAAGTGTCAGGATGTCATTGCTCTAGATCCCCCAAGTGTAAGTGTCATTGTTCTGTGACCACCAAGTGTCAGGGTGTCATTGCTCTAGATCCCCCAAGTGTAAGTGTCATTGTTCTGTCCTCCAAGTGTCAGGGTGTCATTGCTCTAGATCCCCCAAGTGTAATTGTCATTGTTCTGGGACCACCAAGTGCCACTGTGATCTGACCACAATTCCATTGGTATTATCACAGGACAGTTTGGCTCTTGAGGGCCAGTCATAGTGTCTTCCCTTATACCGGTCTGGGTTCTATCATATTTTTGTCTAGTTACATGACATGAATCCATATCCCACAACATCCACCTCTCAGCTGTGATGGTAACACATGGACCATACAATTTGCTTCGATTTCGAGGCCGCGGACCCGTTTCCCCCCCAAATTCCTTCAAGACATACCAAGAGTCTGCAATTGCTGTGAGGGATAACTGACATTCTAACGTGGCTTTGGTTTCGCAGTCCCAGCTTGCACTATATATAGCCTGCTCCACCCTGACTGAGCCACATTGCTGGGCAATACCACATTCCACTCCGCTCGGGTTTACTGCAGACATTTGTGCATCCCTCCATATATATAGAAGTACATATGTGTACATATTTACATGCATCTGTCAGAATCCTGGGACTGTCTGTCTGCGGATTGGAAAACAGCAGTTAATGAAGTGTGAACGATCTTCCTAAAAAGACCCCGTCCCCAGCATACAAAATTGCAGGTAAAAGCACAGAAGATTCCAGTGTTTTAGATACTTTTTTGCTATCGTTTTCCTTTCCATAAACAATTTTGCCTCACTTGCAATGTTTCTCTGGACATACTAGAAAATGGGACGACTGCAGGAAAATTAATTTCCCTATCTCAGCCCCCTCCTTCCTTGCATGTCATAGCTCTCTCCTCTCCTCTTCTCAGAGTGTCTAATTATTGTCTGTGCTGACCCAGCTACCTCACCCCTCCCCTCCCTTCACCTCCCTGCCTGGGGAAGGGTGAGGATTATTATGGAGCAATTTTCTCCACCAACCTCAATCACTTCTCTGACCCAGCAGTATGACACTAATGATCTTTGTAACATTCTGTAAAATTGACATTCTTCCCGACCCCCAATGTAAGGGACATTTCTTCCCGCCCCCAATGTAAGGGACATTCTTCCCACTGACTATCAATGTAAAAGACGTTCTTCCCACTGACCCCCAATGTAAGGGACATTCTTCCCTCTGACCCCAATGTCACCAATGTAAGGGACATTCTTCCCACTGACCCCCAATGTAAGTGACATTCTTCCCACTGACCCCCAATGTAAGGGACATTCTTCCCACTGACTATCAATGTAAGGGACATTCTTCCCACTGACCACCAATGTAAGGAATAAGTTACATTCTTCCCACTGACCCCCAATGTAAGGGACATTCTTCACACTGACCCCCAATATAAGGGACATTCTTCCCACTGACCCCCAATGTAAGGGACATTCTTCCCACTGACCACCAATATAAGGGACATTCTTCCCCACTGACCACCAATGTAAGGAGCATTCTTCCAACTGACCCCCAATGTAAGGAATATTCTTCCCACTGACCCCCAATGTAAGGGACATTCTTCCCACTGACCCCCAATATAAGGGACATTCTTCCCACTGACCACCAATATAAGGGACATTCTTCCCACTGACCACCAATATAAGGGACATTCTTCCCCCTGACCCCCAATGTAAGGGACATTCTTCTTCCCACTGACACCAATGTAAGGGACATTCTTCCCACTGACCCCCAATGTAAGGGACCCCCAATGTAAGGGACATTCTTCCCACTGACCCCAATGTAAGGGACATTCTTCCCACTGACCCCCAATGTAAGGGACATTCTTCCCACTGACCCCCATTGTAAGGGACATTCTTTCCACTGATCCCCAATGTAAGGAACATTATTCTCCCTGACCACCCACCAATGTAAGGGACATTCTTCCCACTGACCACCAATGTAAGGGACATTCTTCCCCTGACCCCCAATGTAAGGGACATTCTTCCCACTGACCCCCCAATGTAAGGGACATTCTTTGACCCCCCATTCTTCCCACTGACCCCCAATGTAAGGGGCATTCTTCCCACTGACCCCCAATGTAAGGGACATTCTTCCCACTTCCCACCCCCAATGTAAGGGGCATTCTTCCCACTGACCCCCAATGTAAGGGACATTCTTCCCACTGACTGATCCCCCAATGTAAGGGGCATTCTTCCCACTGACCACCAATGTAAGGGACATTCTTCCCACTGGCCCCCATTGTAAGGGACATTCTTCCCACTGACCACCAATATAAGGGACATTCTTCCCACTGACCCCCTGACCACCAATGTAAGGGACATTCTTGACCACTGACCCCAAATGTAAGGAACATTCTTCCCACTGATCCCCCAATGTAAGGGACATTCTTCCCACTGACCTCCAATGTAAGGAGCATTCTTCCCACTGACCACCAATGTAAGGAGCATTCTTTACATTGACTTCCATTGACCTTGATTGATTCAGTTTTGTTGGGATCCCCAGAGACTTGGAAACTATTGCAATGGTTCCTTTGGGGTAAAGGGCTGAGAAAGGCTGCTATAGAGTGTCTCTTGAGTGACATGTCTGAGTTTGCTGGCACAGCCGACATCACACCCACGTTGGGTATATGGATGCCCCCACAGGTCTATAACATACATATGGGAGGAAATGAATGGTATGGCTTCAGGACCCCTATAAAGATCTTCTCTACTTCAATCATTTGTGAATAAATTTTTTAAATAAATCAAAATGTTCCCATTCATTTCTTCTGGGTTTTTCTGCAGCTAAAAATGCTTCTTGTCGGCAGCTTCTTCCTTCTTCTAGGTGAGAAGAAAACCACATGGGCACAAATGTTCTCCATTTTCCCGGATTGTTTGTACCACGGAACGTGATGCATCATGTAGGAGGGTCTTCAAGGAGCCGGAGATTAGGCATTTTTGGAAAGTGCGAAATAACAGGAAATCGGGTTAAAGGCTGCGCTTTCCTTGATACTTTGTAATCAACACAAGTTTTAGCTGCAACAATACTTATGTCTGATACCTGCTCTGGCCTTTTTTTTCCCAGGACACTTAAACCTTCACAAATCTCCTTTTTTTTTAATTAAGTGCGGCCTTCCTCCTCGCTAATTCTTTCCCAATCTTCAGGGGAATAAGAGGCCTCTTGTTCTGGAGGAGGTGGATGCTGAAGAAAAGGCCGTTTCATCGCTCTCCCTACCTGGAGCCAATCAACCGGATACCTGAGCAGTCACAAAAGCCGTGGCCCCACCTTCCGTAGAGAGATGGGCCCTGTGCTCTATCTTCCCCCTAATCTCTTTCACTTGCTAATTGCAGGAAGCATTGGGAGGTCCGTCTCCCAGCTGCTGCCTACTGCAATGAATGGTCTTCCAATTCTTCATCTGTGACCACCAGGGAGGGGAGCAGGAGGGCCCGCAGGTCCCACAGACTGCCCAGGTAAAGGACAATGAGTGACCCTTCTGGGCTAATCGTACCTGCTGACCTGTGCAAAAGCCGCAGTCTCCTCTTTATCTCCTTCTGTACAGACATACAAGGTAAGAGAATCGGGGCGCAGAATCTTTGCACTTTTAGCTGCTTAGATTCAGTCATTCCCCAGGTTAATACGATATACAGCTCCCTTTTATTCAGAACTTTTATATGCAAATGTATCTATCCTAAAATTTTTGCGCATTACATTATTTTTAAAGACCTGGTTCTATTGTTTGTATTTATACTGCATGTGCACAAGAGAGCAATCCCCGATTGCCCGTGGCATTTCCAGGCTGTGCTTAATAGTGCATGGTAATTACATTTTCTACCCGATTACATCAAGTCTGTCAGTCTTCTAGACTGGATGAAAAAAAACAAGTCTACAGGTGGCTTATCCTGTAAGCAGTTTTGTCTCAGCAGTCACCTGGCAAAGGTGCTAACTGCAGCACCCAATGTACAGAGTGCCAGTATGTAATCTGCAAACTGCTGAGCGACTCCTTAGCTTTGATGAATGTTTACTGGATTTGCACTGCACTGGAAGGTTTCATTTGAGAATCAGGCTGGTTATGGTTGGAGAGATATTTTGTTGGAGTTTTGAGACCCCCCGTGATGGCGATCGGGTGGTGGCGGTGGGAATTATTCAAATGCTGCATGGTACCTGCTGTATACCTGTTGTATCATCTGTCATTCCTTGTGTTGTATGTTGTTGTTTTCAGCATGCCTCGCTCAGGACTTCAGCAAGAATTATAATATAATTATAGGGAGAATTAGGTTTGTTTTTTGGTCTCTAAAAATATGTATACTGGAGACGAGTGATATAAACCTGAACATCTTCCATCATGTATAAATAGAAGGATCATTCCGCTCATCATTCAGACGAGTGATATAAACCTGAACATCCTCCATCATGTATAAATAGAAGGATCATTCCGCTCATCATTCAGACGAGTGATATAAACCTGAACATCCTCCATCATGTATAAATAGAAGGATCATTCCGCTCATCATTCAGACGAGTGATATAAACCTGCACATCTTCCATCATGTATAAATAGAAGGATCATTCCGCTCATCATTCAGACGAGTGATATAAACCTGCACATCTTCCATCATGTATAAATAGAAGGATCATTCCGCTCATCATTCAGACGAGTGATATAAACCTGCACATCTTCCATCATGTATAAATAGAAGGATCATTCCGCTCATCATTCAGACGAGTGATATAAACCTGCACATCTTCCATCATGTATAAATAGAAGGATGCACATTCCGCTCATCATTCAGACGAGTGATATAAACCTGCACATCTTCCATCATGTATAAATAGAAGGATCATTCCGCTCATCATTCAGACGAGTGATATAAACCTGCACATCTTCCATCATGTATAAATAGAAGGATCATTCCGCTCATCATTCAGACGAGTGATATAAACCTGCACATCTTCCATCGTGTAAATAGAAGGATCATTCCGCTCATCATTCAGACGAGTGATATAAACCTGCACATCTTCCATCGTGTATAAATAGAAGGATCATTCCGCTCATCATTCAGACGAGTGATATAAACCTGCACATCTTCCATCGTGTATAAATAGAAGGATCATTCCGCTCATCATTCAGACGAGTGATATAAACCTGCACATCTTCCATCATGTATAAATAGAAGGATCATTCCGCTCATCATTCAGACGAGTGATATAAACCTGCACATCTTCCATCGTGTAAATAGAAGGATCATTCCGCTCATCATTCAGACGAGTGATATAAACCTGCACATCTTCCATCATGTATAAATAGAAGGATCATTCCGCTCATCATTCAGACGAGTGATATAAAACCTGCACATCTTCCATCGTGTAAATAGAAGGATCATTCCGCTCATCATTCATACGATTACAATAAACCTGCACATCTTCCATCGTGTAAATAGAAGGATCATTCCGCTCATCATTCATAATTACAAACTGAATGCCATCACCAAATCTAAAACAATTCTTTAATACAGCATCTTGAAGAAGTCTTCCCTCCTCTTGAAATGTCCCCCATGTTGTCATGTGACAGTGTATTCCCCCCCTCCCCCCTGAAATGTCCCTCATGTTGTCATGTTACAATGTATTCAACCTTCCCCCCTGAAATGTCCCCCATGTTGTCATGTGACAATGTATTCCCCCCTCCCCCCTGAAATGTCCCTGATGTTGTCATGTTACAATGTATTCCAACCCCCCCCCCCCCCCGAAATGTTCCCCATGTTGTCATGTTACAATGTATTCCCCCTTCCCCCCCGAAATGTCCCCCATGTTGTCATTCCGTTACAATGTATTCCGTCCCCCTGAAATGTCCCCCATGTTGTCATGTTACGATGTATTCCCTCCCCCTGAAATGCCCCCCCATGTTGTCACGTTACAATGTATTCCCCCTCCCCCCGAAATGTCCCCCCATGTTGTCATGTTATAATATATTCCCCCTCCCCCCTGAAATGTCCCCCATGTTGTCATGTTACAATGTATCTATCGGGATTGGATGTGATGGACCGACACAAAGTGGCACATAATTGTGAAGTGGAAGGAAAATGAGAAATGGTTTCCAACATTTGTGACCAATAAATCTGTGAAAAGTGTGTCGGCTTTGGTATTCGGCCCCCCGGAGTCAATGCTTTGTAGAACCCCCTTTGGCTGCAATTTCAGCTGCAAGTCTTTTGGGGGATGTCTCTTTGCACATCTAGAGAGGGACATTTCTGCCCATTCTTCTTTGCAGAATCCCTCAAGCTCTGTCAGATTGGATGGAGGGAGTCTGGGCACAGCAATTGTCAAATCTGGCCACAGATTCTCCATTGGATTTGGGTCTGGACTGTGACTGGGCCATTCTAACACTTGAAGATTCTTTGATCTGAACCATTCCATTGTAGGTCTGGCTGGATGTTTCGGGTCGTTGTCCTGCTGGAAAGGGAACCTCCGCCCTGGTCTCAAGTCTTCGGCAGACTCTAACAGGTTTTCTTCAAAGATGGCCCTGTATTTTGCTCCATCCATCTTCCTATCAACTCTGACCAGCTTCCCTGTCCCTGCTGAAGAAAAGCATGCCCACAACATGATGCTGCCACCACCATGTTTCACAGTGGGGATGGGTGTGTTCAGGGTGATGTGCAGTGTGAGTTTTCCATCACACATAGCGTTTTGCCTTTTGGCCAAAAAGTTCAATTTTGGTCTCCTCTGACCAGAGCCCCTTCTTCCACATGTTTGCTGTGTCTCCCACATGGCTTCTCGCAAACTGCAAATGGGACTTCTGGCTTTCTTTCAACAATGGCTTACTACTCTTCCATAAAGGCCAGATTTGTGGAGTGCATGACTAATAGTTGTCCTGTGGACAGATTCTCCCACCTGAGCTGTGATCTTGCAGCTCCTCCAGAGTTCCCGTGGGCCTCTTGGCTGCTTCTCTGATGAATGCTCTCCTTGCCCGGCCGGTCAGTTTAGGTGGACGGCCATGTCTTGGTAGGATTTCAGTTGTGCCGTACTCTTTCCATTTTGAGATGGTGGTCAGTGGGAAGAATGCCCCTTACATTGGTGATCAGTGGGAAGAATGTCCCTTACATTGGTGGTCAGTGGGAAAAATGTCCCTTACATTGGTGGTCAGTGGGAAGAATGGTCCTTACATTGGTGGTCAGTGGGGAAGAATGTCCCTTACATTGGTGATCAGTGGGAAGAATGTCCCTTACATTGGTGGTCAGTGGGAAGAATGTCCCTTCATTTTTGGTCAGTGGGAAGAATGGTCCTTACATTGGTGGTCAATGGGAAGAATGTCTCTTACATTGGGGGTCAGTGGGAAGAATGGTCCTTACATTGGGGGTCAGTGGGAAGATGTCCCTTACATTGGTGGTCAGTGGGAAGAATGTCCCTTACATTGGGGGGGTCAGTGAGAAGAACGTCCTTTACATTGGGAGTCAGTGGAAAGAACGTCCTTACATTGGGGTCAGTGGGAAGAATGTCCCTTACATTGGTGATCAGCAGGAAGAATGTTCCTTGTGAGATGTTCAAAGCTTGGGATTTTTTTTTATAACCTAACCCTGCTTTAAACTTCTTCACAACTTTATCCCTGACCTGTCTGGTGTGTTTCTCAGCCTTCATGATGCTGTTTGTTCACTAATGTTCTCTAATAAACCTCTGAGGGCTTCACAGAACAGCTGTATTTATACTGAGACCACGTGAAACACAGGGGGACTCTATTTGCTAGTTAGGTGACTTCTGAAGGCAGCTGGTTCCACTACATTTTAGTTAGGGGTGTCAGAGTAAAGGTGGCTGAATACAAATGCTGCCACACTTTTCAGATATTTATTTGTAAAACATTTTGAAAACCATTTGTCATTTCCCTTCCACTTCGCAATTATGTGCCACTTTGCGTTGGTCTATCACAAGAGTCTCCCACTGACACCAATGATGGGGCAATGTTCCTTCCACTGACCCCAACGACAGGGCACTGTGCCTCCCACTGATACCAGAAATGGGGAACTAATTACCCCATTGGCACCAACAACAGGGCTCTGTTCCTCCCACTGACCCCAACGACGGGGCTCTGTTCCTCCCACTGACCCCAACGACGGGGCTCTGTTCCTCCCACTGACCCCAACGACGGGGCTCTGTTCCTCCCACTGACCCCAACGACGGGGCTCTGTTCCTCCCACTGACCCCAACGACGGGGCTCTGTTCCTCCCACTGACCCCAACGACGGGGCTCTGTTCCTCCCACTGACCCCAACGACGGGGCTCTGTTCCTCCCACTGACCCCAACGACGGGGCTCTGTTCCTCCCACTGACCCCAACGACGGGGCTCTGTTCCTCCCACTGACCCCAATGACGGGGCTCTGTTCCTCCCACTGACCCCAACGACGGGGCTCTGTTCCTCCCACTGACCCCAACGACGGGGCTCTGTTCCTCCCACTGACCCCAACGACGGGGCTCTGTTCCTCCCACTGACCCCAACGACGGGGCTCTGTTCCTCCCACTGACCCCAACGACGGGGCTCTGTTCCTCCCACTGACCCCAACGACGGGGCTCTGTTCCTCCCACTGACCCCAACGACGGGGCTCTGTTCCTCCCACTGACCCCAACGACGGGGCTCTGTTCCTCCCACTTACCCCAGTGATGGGGCTGTGTTGCTCCCACTGACCCCAATGACGGGGCTCTGTTCCTCCCACTGACCCCAATGACGGGGCTCTGTTCCTTCCACTGACCCCAACGACAGGGCACTGTGCCTCCCACTGATACCAGAAATGGGGAACTAATTACCTCATTGGCACCAACAACAGGGCTCTGTTCCTCCCACTGACCCCAACGACGGGGCTCTGTTCCTCCCACTGACCCCAACGACGGGGCTCTGTTCCTCCCACTTACCCCAGTGATGGGGCTGTGTTGCTCCCACTGACCCCAATGACGGGGCTCTGTTCCTCCCACTGACCCCAACGACGGGGCTCTGTTCCTCCCACTGACCCCAACGACGGGGCTCTGTTCCTCCCACTTACCCCAGTGATGGGGCTGTGTTGCTCCCACTGACCCCAATGACGGGGCTCTGTTCCTTCCACTGACCCCAACGACAGGGCACTGTGCCTCCCACTGATACCAGAAATGGGGAACTAATTACCTCATTGGCACCAACAACAGGGCTCTGTTCCTCCCACTGACCCCAACGACGGGGCTCTGTTCCTCCCACTGACCCCAACGACGGGGCTCTGTTCCTCCCACTGACCCCAACGACGGGGCTCTGTTCCTCCCACTGATCCCAACGACGGGGCTCTGTTCCTCCCACTGACCCCAAGGACGGGGCTCTGTTCCTCCCACTGACCCCAAGGACGGGGCTCTGTTCCTCCCACTGACCCCAAGGACGGGGCTCTGTTCCTCCCACTGACCCCAAGGACGGGGCTCTGTTCCTCCTATTGACCCCAATGATAGGGCTCTGTTCCTCCCACTGACCCCAATGATGGGGCTCTGTTCCTCCCACTGACCCCAATGACGGGGCTCTGTTCCTCCCACTGACCCCAATGACGGGGCTCTGTTCCTCCCACTGACCCCAATGACGGGGCTCTGTTCCTCCCATTGACCCCAACGACAGGGCTTTGTTCCTCCCACTGACCCCAATGACGGGGCTCTGTTCCTCCCATTGACCCCAACGACAGGGCTTTGTTCCTCCCACTGACCCCAATGATGGGGCTCTGTTCCTCCCATTGACCCCAACGACGGGGCTTTGTTCCTCCCACTGACCCCAGTGATGGGGCTCTGTTCCTCCCACTGACCCCAACGACAGGGCTTTGTTCCTCCCACTGACACAAATGTTGAAAACCATTTCTTATTTTCCTTCCACTTCACTATTATGTCCCACTTTGTGTTGGTCTATCACATCAAATCCCAATAAAATACATTTACGTTTTTGACAACATGGGAACATTTGAAGGGGTATGAATACTTTTTCAATGCACTGTATGCATATTTTTCCTGATATTTGTCAGTCTGTACACCTCTCTGTCCGATCGTACTGCTCCTCTTTCTCTATGGAAACACAACATCTCTTTTCCCTGTTCTGTTACAGGAAGACGGTGTCACTGTCTAATCACTGCAGTATGGCCGGTCATAATTTGCACTAATTGATCTGCGACGGCAGGTTTAATGTTTTTTATTATTCTGGTTGTCCTCTAATTATAATTCCCTCTTGTGAACATTTGCTCCCCACATGTACAGGCTGGGATCCGGCATAACAGTCACTGATCCATGGGCCTGGGGTCAAAGCCCAAACTGTGCAGAGCAATCCTTTCACTTTGAGTCTTGAAATAATAATAAAATATGGATACAAAGTATACAATCTTTCCACTTACTTAAAATATGGATACAAAGGTTCAAAGTTGTTATTATTTAGGCGGTCTTTCTCCTTACATAAAATATGGATACATATTCTCAACATTTTTCAACACAGGGGAACCCTTGAAATAACTTTCCTGTCTCGGGGACCCCCCCGCTAATAATGACCACATCTCCACATCTACAACTCCGGATACATTAGTGGATGGGAAGAATGCTCCTTAAAGTTGTGGTCACTGAGAAGACTTACCCCCTTAAAGATAACTAAAAGGATCAATGGTGTCAGTGGGAACTTATCTAAAAGGTTGAATAATTACCCCCTAGTAAGGTATACGAAGTGCAGTTAGCAAAGGGAACTTAAATGTAACAAATGATTGAGATATGTTGTCACAGAGAATTCCGCGCCTTTCTATACCTATACAGGGCTGGCGCTAAAAGCAGACCATCAATCACCCAGCCGCTAATGAAATTACAGGAGAGTAACGCAATTATTCAGCCTAAATATTTTTTCAGACATCTGTTCCCTCTCCTCTCGATGTTTTCTCCTTTCAGATGGGGGTGAACGTCCAGCGAGAGGTTTGTAGGGAATATTTCAAGGTTCTGCGATGTACGGAGCAGGAAAAGAGCTTTCTGGAAGCCCGGCTGGGCTGCGGGGGCCGACAAATTGAGTTAGCAGCATGGAGATTTGGCGTAAACAAAACAACATGTACAGACGGGGCTCCCACAGGACCGACAGGTCTTTTTAGTGTGGGGGAAGGGGCTTCCTGTTTTTTATTGACTTTTCTGAGCGCGCTCCATGTGTTATCTCATGTTGATCCAGAATTAATGTTTGGTCATATTTTGGGGTTCAGCCTTGTAGAACACATTGCATTTGGCCCAGTTCTTCTGGCAAGCCTAGTAAAGCCCAGATGCCCAGCCTATGGTCTTCGAGGCTGCAAGTGGCCCTTTGGGACTTATTGTGTGGCCCCCCCATGGCTCCTGCAAACAGTATTCTGTGTTTTTGTGGTTTTGATCTATGTATGTAACATGTCCACCTCCTATAGAATGTCTGTAGTCTCTAATATTCTCCTGTACCATGTCTGCAGTCTCTGACCGTCTCCTGTACTACGTTTGCAGTCTCTGACCGTCTCCTGTAGTATGTCTGCAGTCTCTGGCCATCTCCTGTACTATGTCTGCAGTCTCTGGCCATCTCCTGTACTATGCCTGCAGTCTCTGGCCATCTCCTGTACTATGTCTGCAGTCTCTGGCCATCTCCTGTAGTATGTCTGCAGTCTCTGGCCATCTCCTGTACTATGTCTGCAGTCTCTGGCTGTATCTCCTGTACTATGTTTGCAGTCTCTGGTCATCTCCTGTACTATGTCTGCAGTCTCTGGCTGTATCCTGTACTATGTTTGCAGTCTCTGACCGTCTCCTGTACTATGTCTGCAGTCTCTGGTCATCTCCTGTACTATGTCTGCAGTCTCTGGTCATCTCCTGTACTGTGTCTGCAGTCTCTGCCGTCATTCCTGTACTATGTCTGCAGTCTCTGGCTGTCTCCTGTACTATGTCTGCAGTCTCTGGTCCGTTTCCTGTACTATGTCTGCAGTCTCTGGTCATCTCCTGTACTATGTCTGCAGTCTCTGGTCAGTCTCTGACCTGCAGTCTCTGGCCGTTTCCTGTACTATGTCTGCAGTCTCTGGCTGTCTCCTGTACTATGTCCTGCAGTCTCTGACCATCTCCTGTACTATGTCCGCAGTCTCTGCATCTCCTGTCTGTCTGCAGTCTCCTGTACATCTCCTGTACTATGTCTGCAGTCTCTGACCATCTCCTGTACTATATCTGCAGTCTCTGACCATCTCCTGTACTATGTCTGCAGTGTCTGACCATCTCCTGTACTATGTCTGCAGTCTCTGACCATCTCCTGTACTATGTCTGCAGTCTCTGACCATCTCCTGTACATGTCTGCAGTCTCTGACCATCTCCTGTACTATGTCTGCAGTCTCTGACCATCTCCTGTACCATGTCTGCAGTCTCTGACCATCTCCTGTACTATGTCTGCAGTCTCTGACCATCTCCTGTACTGTGTCTTCAGTCTCTGTCTTCTGTACTATGTCTGCAGTCTCTGACCTTCTCTTGCAGAAGATGTGAAGTCTCTGCAGTATGTTGGTGTGTGGCCTTTTGGTGATGTCAGGGGCCACACTTAGAGCCCCCTATATCAAATAAGTTGACCACCACTGCAGAAGAGCTCAGAAACGTGTTATTGGTGAAATGTGGAATTTTGCGTATCTTTGGTGCTAATCTGCAGTGATTGTGCATTGCCATTGTACAGGTACTAGGTGGTGTATCCTGTAGTCTGCTTTGTCTCAGCAGTTGTTGAACACGGGTACTGATTGATTTTCAGTGACTTCTCAGGGCTCTCTGATAGAAACCCCCAGACACAGCCCAAAGGGAATAAAAAATCTGGTCATTCAAGAGACAGCAAATACCTGGAGAGGGGACTTGTATGCAGGATTGAGGACAAGTTGTTCGGTCTGACGTAAGGAGCTGTCCTGGGTGTCAATCGATTGTCATGTTTTATAGTATTTGAGAATTTTTATCGCATTATTTGTAAAAAAAAACACGTTTGATAGAATTTTTTGTACACTTTGTGGTGCTTCCTCGTGACTGAGTTCAGATCCCCCTCTCCCTGTCTCTGGTACAGATTGGTTGAATGATGTCTTGAGATGGCGGCATGTGAGGAGAGTTCCAGGAATGTCAGTCCTGAACAGGGGCGGACTGACAACTCATGGGGCCCCCTGGGCAATAGGGGATCATGGGGCCCCTGCGTCCTTGTCCAAACTCAAAAAAGCCTATGAAAAAGGTACCAGGGGCATCTCATGGGGATGGGGCCCCCTACTGACCCCAGGCCCTCAGGCAGTGACCGAGTTTCCAAATGGTCCATCCTCTAATTTTTGGTGAATAATTTGAGAGTCATCAGATGTATGACGCTCTCTGCATGTGAGTGGGTGCAGGGGGGGGGGGGTCAATCACATCAAACGTTTCTTTGTTCTGATCCCTACCAGTTAGAGGGGTCACTTGGTGCCAACTATTATGGGCAGCACAGTGGCTAAATGGTTAGCACTTCCACCTGGCAGTACTCGGGTCGTTGGTTTGAATCCCAACCACGGCACCACCTGCCTGGAGTTTGCATGTTCTCCTCTGTGCCTGCGTGGGTTTTCCTCCGGGTACTCCGGTTTCCTCCCACACTCCAAAAGACATGCTGGTAGGTTAATTGGATCCTGTCTAAATTGGCCCTAGTATGTGTATGTAAGTTAGGGACCTTAGATTGTATGCCCCCTGAGGGTTAGGGACCTTAGATTGTACGCCCCTTTAGGGTTAGGGACCTTAGATTGTACGCCCCTTTAGGGTTAGGGACCTTAGATTGTACGCCCCTTTAGGGTTAGGGACCTTAGATTGTACGCCCCTTTAGGGTTAGGGACCTTAGATTGTACGCCCCTTGAGGGTTAGGGACCTTAGATTGTACACCCCTTTAGGGTTAGGGACCTTAGATTGTACACCCCTTTAGGGTTAGGGACCTTAGATTGTACGCTCCTTTAGGGTTAGGGACCTTAGATTGTACACCCCTTTAGGGTTAGGGACCTTAGATTGTACGCCCCTTTAGGGTTAGGGACCTTTGACTGTACACCCCTTTAGGGTTAGGGACCTTAGATTGTACGCCCCTTTAGGGTTAGGGACCTTAGATTGTACGCCCCTTTAGGGTTAGGGACCTTAGATTGTACGCCCCTTTAGGGTTAGGGACCTTAGATTGTACGCCCCTTGAGGGTTAGGGACCTTAGATTGTACGCCCCTTTAGGGTTAGGGACCTTAGATTGTACGCCCCTTTAGGGTTAGGGACCTTAGACTGTACGCCCCTTTAGGGTTAGGGACCTTAGATTGTACGCCCCTTGAGGGTTAGGGACCTTAGATTGTACGCCCCTTTAGGGTTAGGGACCTTAGATTGTACGCCCCTTGAGGGTTAGGGACCTTAGATTGTACACCCCTTGAGGGTTAGGGACCTTAGATTGTACGCTCCTTTAGGGTTAGGGACCTTAGATTGTACGCCCCTTTAGGGTTAGGGACCTTAGATTGTACGCCCCTTGAGGGTTAGGGACCTTAGATTGTACGCCCCTTTAGGGTTAGGGACCTTAGATTGTACGCCCCCTTTAGGGTTAGGGACCTTAGATTGTACGCTCCTTTAGGGTTAGGGACCTTAGATTGTACACCCCTTTAGGGTTAGGGACCTTAGATTGTACGCTCCTTTAGGGTTAGGGACCTTAGATTGTACGCCCCTTGAGGGTTAGGGACCTTTGACTGTACACCCCTTGAGGGTTAGGGACTGATGTGAATGTACAATAGATATGTAAAGCGCTGCGTAAATTGATGGCGCTATATAAGTACCTGAAATAAATAATAAATAAATATTGGTCTGTCTGTGGCCCCTGACTGTGCTCTCTGTGGATCTGTTTGCCCTGGGAAGTCAGGAAGGTTCAGTCGGCACCTGTGCTCAACAGTTGCTGAGACAAAGCCAGTCGCATGATCCGCCAGCTTCTTGACGTGTGTAGTTTTTGAATGACTACTCATCCAGGTGAAGCTGGGAAATCTTTGTCGATGAGATTGGGAGAAATTCGATGTGGAGAGAATTCAGGAACCGTTCAGTCCAATCCAGAAGCCAGCAGTCTCCATGAAGGGATACACTGAAGTCCTGCCAAGTCTTTCCGATGACAGCGGACCCGGTTGTAGGAACATCCTAGAACTACACAGCCGTGATCACATATGGCGATAAAGTCGCAGCTGACTGGTTACCCGCGGTGTGCAGGCTGGCGATGGCTGAAGTGAACTGGATCGGATTATAGGTGGGATTTGTGGATTATGGATGTTTCCTAGAATCTGAGGGGGCGTTCAGGAATGAGGGGGGAGGATATCCGGGCATAGCTGTACTGTGAGAAGGAGAGTGGAGGGCGCCGTCTCATCACAGCTTCTGAAGTAGGCAGGAGAGACACCTCGGTGTAACAAGACTTCCTACAAATGGCAGCCGGGGACCGACCCTATTGGTTAGGAGGACTTTGCGTTCAATATATCTTCTTATTTTAATTATTTGCCTACTGAACAATATGTCAGTGTAATGCTTCCAGGTATGTATTACTGGTCACTGTACTCCCCCTGACATGGACTGCATCTGCTTTTTCTCTCCAGAAGGACAGCCCCATCTTTGTTCAGGCATCATCCAAAGTTATCATCTACTTCCTGGACTGAGATGCTCTTGTGTAAATTCTGGTACCTGTGCAGTTGTTGGCTGTGTTCACAATTATCTAACACATATCAGCCCCTGCTGCAGCCTCTCACCTTGTGATTTGCTACAAAGTTACAATGTAGCAGATTGATCACTTGGGAGGAGGAGACTGAGGAAATGCTTCATCCTGCCTGCAGCAGCCTGTTAACATTATCTCACCCTTGGCAAAGTTACTGAAGCTCAAGGATGGCTTTGAAAGGTCTGACACAGATCGGCCTCTACTGCGGCCTCTCACCCTGTGACTAACTACAAAGTTACAATATTGCAGCCTTTCACCTTGTAACTGACTACAAAGTTACAATGTTGCGGCCTCTCACCTTGTGACTGACTACAAAGTTACAATGTGCAGCCTTCACCTTGTGACTGACTACAAACTTACAATGTTGCGGCCTCTGACCTTGTGACTGACTACAAAGTTACAATGTTGCAGCCTCTCACCTTGTGACCGACTACAAAGTTACAATGTTGCCGCCTCTCACCTTGTGACCGACTACAAAGTTACAATGTTGCGGCCTCTCACCTTGTGACCGACTACAAAGTTACAATGTTGCAGCCTCTCACCTTGTGACTGACTACAAAGTTACAATATTGCAGCCTTTCACCTTGTAACTGACTACAAAGTTACAATGTTGCGGCCTCTCACCTTGTGACTGACTACAAACTTACAATGTTGCGGCCTCTGATCTTGTGACTGACTACAAAGTTACAATGTTGCAGCCTCTCACCTTGTGACGACTACAAAGTTACAATGTTGCCGCCTCTCACCTTGTGACCGACTACAAAGTTACAATGTTGCGGCCTCTCACCTTGTGACTGGATACAAAGTTACAATGTTGCGGCCTCTCACCTTGTGACTGGATACAAAGTTACAATGTTGCGGCCTCTCACCTTGTGACCGACTACAAAGTTACAATGTTGCGGCCTCTCACCTTGTGACCGACTACAAAGTTACAATGTTGTGGCCTCTCACCTTGTGACTGGATACAAAGTTACAATGTTGCGGCCTCTCACCTTGTGACCGACTACAAAGTTACAATGTTGCGGCCTCTCACCTTGTGACTGACTACAAAGTTACAATGTTGTGGCCTCTCACCTTGTGACTGACTACAAAGTTACAATGTTGCGGCCTCTCACCT